TTAAGAACATTTTTCTTTTCTTTTTTTTTTAGATTAGAGTATCCCTTAAGGATTGGGATGAAGTTATGAAATTCCAGCAAGATCTGACAAACGCACAACATTATGATGCTTCTTATATTCTGAGGAAGCTGAGGCTAGACAAAGCCTTCCATTTTACAGCAATGCCCAAACCTGTATGATAATATAGTAACACAGCTCAAAACATTTATTAACCCTTTGCTATGTGCACAGCATTGTCTTAACCAGTGGGGGTGATAAAAAGTTTAGATAATACATAGTCCTTGCTCTTGCAAATCTTACAATCTGGTAGAGAAGGGGAAGGGAGAAGGGAAAAGCGTGAATATAGTGCATACTATGTGCCAGACACTGTGCTAAGTGCTTTACAAATGTGATCTCATTTCATCTTTACAACAGTCCGGGGATGTAGGTGTTGTTATTATCTCCATGTTAAAGTTGAGGAAACTGAGGCAGACATGTTTAGTGACTTGTCTAAGGTCAAATAGCTAACAGGTGCCTGAAGCTGGATTTGAACTTGGGTCTTCCTTATTCCAGGCCCAGTGCTCCGTCCACTGTGCCAGCTACCTGCCTGGACTAGTGGGGACTTAAGACAGCAGTGCAGATAACTGTGGTACATAGTATTACATAAATGCCTTAGGATTATCCACCATCAGTTATAAAACATAGATTCTTTTTTGAAATCCTTGCGAGATGATTTCGTTCCTTTTTTTCTCTCTAATTCTTTTATTAATTTATCAGTCATCTGGAGGCTTCTTGCAGGTGTTCCTTTCTCATTTACAGTTGAGAGCTGCTGGAAAGAGTACCTTTCTTCAGGAGATTCCTTTTCTGATTGTTTTTTTTAAACCTCAGACTGTTTCTTCATTTTATCATGATTGTTGTTTGTTCATTTGTTTAGTTTCTTTGCTGGTTTTTGGTAGGGTCTTCCCTTAATGAGAGTTTCTTTCTCTCTTTTTGTTGTTCTTTTGCTTTACTTTAGTGAATATCTTGTTTTGAATATTTGTAGGGCAGGTGGACCTAGGAATGACAGTATATTCAGCCATCTTACTGGAACACAAAAATGTGTGAGAGTTACAAAGCAAAGTGTTGTTTGAAGTCTCAGCTCTGAAGTGGAGAGAGGAAGGATATCAGGGAAGACTTCTTGGAGGATGTGGCATTTGAAGGATGGATAGGAATACAGCAGGTGAAAAGAGGGAGGGAAGACGTTACAGGAATATGAAATAGCCTGGGCATAGGCATAGAGGAGTGAGAGTGCAGTATTTGTTCAGGGGGCTAGGGAGTTGCCAAATTAGGTGAGAGTGTGGAGAGCTAGGAGAGGAGGAATAGAAAATAAGGCTAGAAGAGTAATAATGTTGCTGGGTTGTGAAGGGCTTTGATAAGCCAGGCAAAGGAGTTGGACTTCTGCTAGGGATCTCTGAGCAGAGGAATGACCTGACCATGTTTATGAATTAAGAAAGATTATTTTGACAGAAGTATAAAGGGTGAATTGGAAGGGGGAGAGATTGGAGATGGGAAAACCTATGAAGGACTTCTGTAATGTTCTAGATGAGCGGTAGAGAAGCTTGTACGAGGGTGATTGTATTGAGATTAGAGAAAAGGGGACAAAGTTCAGAGATGTTTCATTGAGGGATTTAATAGGACTTGTTAATTAATTGGAAATTAACAGGAAAGAGATAGGAAGGGTAAAAACTTAATTTACAATCATGGAAGACATATATGGGACTGATTTTCTGACAAGTAGAAATAATGAAATCAGAAGGAAAAACAGATTTAGGTGGGAAAATAATGAACTCAGTTTTAGACTTGTTGAGTTTAAGGTGCTAGTGGCATATCTAGATCATGTGTTCTTAATCCATAAACCTTTTTTTTTCTTTTTTAAATTTGATAACCATTTCAACTTAACTGGTTTCTTTTATAATCCTATATGTTTAATTTTATGCCTTTTAAAGCATTATTCTAAATGATATTCTGGTTTCATCAGACCACCAGATGGGTTCATGACACAACAGAGGTTAAGAACCTCTGATAAGGATGGAGACATACTATCATCAGATGGAGAGATTAGATCTAGAGCTTAGAAGAAAAGCCAGGATTAGAAATATATGTGTGGGATCTGCCAAGAATGGGTGATTAAAGCTGTGGGAGTTAATAAGATTGCCCACAGAGAATGTAAGAGGAAAGAGGGCCAAGGAGAGACCTCTGGGGAATTCGTGCATTGGAGGATTGGGAAGAACAAGGAAGACAGTGCTTATAGAAAGAAAAAAATACCAGGAGATGTGGTGTCTTTGAAGCCACAGAAGAAGAGACTATCCAGTTGATAGGTGTCATGCCACAGTGAGGTCGAAGAGGGCGAGGATAGAAAAAGACTTTTGGACCTGACAATGAGGAGGTCATTTGTGACATGATAAAGCCATGTATCTGTAGAATGGAGGTGACAGAAGCGTTGTTGAGAGTTGAGGGGAGTTGAGAGAGTCTCACTTGAGGAAGTAGAGGCAATAGGTTTCCATGGCTTTTTCAAGAAGTGTAATAATGGAAAGGAAGAGATAGTTGGGATGGTAATTGGTTAGGTTAGAATGGTCAAGGTAAGTTTTCAAAATTTGGAGTGATCGTGTTTGTAGCAGGTGGGAAGGAGGCAGTTTTGATGGAATGTGTTAGAGGAGTTGACTGCTGACACAAGGTTCTAGAGTAGGTAGGAGGAAGTGCTGGGGGGGAGGGGAGGAAGGGACATATAGAATGGTTAACTTTACTGAGGTGTAGGGATGACTTTCCTGTGACCTGAGGGAAGCAGGAGAGAAAAGGTGATGACACTCGGAAAGTTTGAGAAATGAAGGTAGGGAACTGAGGAAGTTCACATTGAGTAACTACAGTTTTCTTTATAATATAGGATTAGCGCATAGTGGTGGGGAAGTTTGGGATAGTTGCCATAGAGAATAAGATAGGGAGTTAGTAGGGTAGAGTAAAGGGATTGTTGAAGAGCAATAAGTATTCATATGATGTTATATTCTGTGAAATTTTGATGTATGGAATAATGATTAATTTTTTAAAAATAAAAAAATCTTTGTTTCCTATTAAGTATCACTAGATTCATAGAATATTTTAAAAAGAGACAAACTAAAGTATTGTTACCAATATCATCGGATAACCTTAAAAGTATCACTTGAAAAGCTTTCTGATTAAAACCTAATCTTGTGTTTAAAATGGAGATACACATATATTTGTAGTGTGTTTCTAGACTGCACGTAAAAACAGATATAGCAGGGTACAATCCTGATGATGCACGTGCTTTTACCCTGAATCTTGGAGCGTAGTTGTGTGGTAGAAATCATGGAATAAGTTGTTAAGAATGACATAAAGTAAACGTCTTTTTAAGACAATATTCGTTGAGCAGAATAGCAAAATATGACTCTTTGAAAGTGATTAAACTGTATAACCATTTTGTTTCACTTCAAAACAGGTTTGTTGGGGCAGCTAGGTGGTGCAGTGGGTAGAGTTCCGGTTTTAGAGTCAGGAGGACTCGAGTTCAAATCCGGCCTCAGACACTTGACAGTTACTAGCTGTGTGACCCTGGGCAAGTCACTTAACCCCAGTTGTCTTAAAAAAAAAACAATTTCAAAACCAGGTTTGTTGATCAGAGTAATTACATTTTGATAGTATATTGGGTTTCTAGTAAGGCTTTAATGTAGTAGCTTTTAGTATTTCTAAATTTGACTCTATTCTGTGTTGCTAAAGGGTACCTCAAAGGCAAATCGGAAGACTGAAAGACTTAGGATTCATTGAATAATAAATCTACCATATGCAGGGATATTTTAAATTTATTTTTATTTTCCATTGTAGTATTTTTATTGCTATCCTTATATCAGTACTGCAAATATGCATCTGTTTTTCTAAACAGCCAACTGCATTACATTATTACCATTTTATGTAGCTTTCGTACAGAATGAAGAAAAATATTCCACGAACTGAAGTTACAGAGGAATTTAAGGAACCTAATGACCGGGTAATGAAGCTTATCACTGCTGATACACTAGAGGTAATTTTATTTTTGTTCTCTGAATGATTATCAGAGAATTTTACTAGGTGCTGCTGATTTCTCAGATTGATTTACCATATCATAGTGAAGTGCTATAAGTATTACCCCATACTCTTAGTTTTACTATAAATCTTGAAATTTGATGTAGTTTAATGATAGGTCCTCAGTTAAAATTTGAAGAGCCCAAATTAATGTTTAAAATTTTCTTTGATTGTGTACAAGGGAGTCCATCAGGCTACTGTTTTTATATTATATCATATATATTTCATATATATCATTTCCATATACTTCTTGGGTATTACATCTTTATAAGATTTGCGTCACATATTCCTGTTAAATTGCTTCTTATTCTAGTTGTATCTTTTTCTTTGTATAGAATCTTTTAAATTTTATATAGTCAAGATGTTTATTTTATGATTACTTTTGTCCTTTTTTTAGTGGTATTCCATTTTCGTTTGACCTAAATTGCAGAATAGGTGCTGATTTTCATTGTTAGAGGGAATTTCCTTGACAGAAATTTTTTTTTACACTAATGAAAGTCTAGGTCCAAATCAAAAATTTGAAAATGATATGTGTGTTAAACCTGACAGCCTTCTCAAATGCTTCTTATTCCTAATACTTTGTCTAGATTCTTTCTGTTCCTTCATACCACGCTTTTCACAAGTGGGGGACCAGGCCAGTCCTCTTTGTGATCTGTTCTTGCTCAAATCTTTCATTACCTATGAAAGCCTGAATTTAAGAGTTTAAAGGTCCTACGTGTGGTAGCTCTCATTTTTGGGCATAATGTCTGACAAATCTTCCCTCATTTCTGTAACTCATTCTGAGCATACCTCTCTGATGACCTAGGACTTGGGATTCTGTCTCTTCAGTAGAATTAAGGTGTATTCTTAGCTTTAAATTGCTGAGCCTGGTTAACGGGGAAACATTTTGGCAAGTGGTATGCACCGGACTGTTTTAGGAATAGACCAACTGATTTGGTTCCTCATCTGAAACATGAGCCTTGGCTTGCCCAGTATGGCCTTGCTTATGGAGATTTGATGTCTCAAATTAAGCCCTAATAGCTGTTTTCTCAGTTTCTGTTGACTTTTCATGGGCTTTTTCTCATCTTTAGCCTAGAAGCACTAGTGGACTAAATGACCCAGGATTCCAGAGTGAAAATATAAACAGTTGGCATCTGTTTATGCTTGTTGGTCCCCAGGTGCATGGGCTTTAGATCTAGTTGTTTGTTATTGATTCTTGGCCCCTCTCATCCCCATCTCTAGTCTTTTAGTTCACATATTTTGCTTTTTCCTTTGATATTTTAGGCTATCATTCAGCTGGACAGGTTTATCACTCAGACATGTCATGTTGTTGGAGGGCAAGAAACTGGATGGTTTTGAAACTCCACATTCAACCCATGCTTTAAAATCTCCATTATCTTGATTGAGCCTCTTCCTAGTCCCAAATCAGCTTAAAAATGTGGATATTTTTCCCATGTTCTCCATTAGGGACCTTGTGTTCTCCCTGATGGTTGATGTTAAAGTTGGATACTAGGTGGAATTGTGTCAAGAGAAACAGAAGTGTGTGAGTGGTGACTCCAGAAGAATTTTTAGATCGGGGAACAGTCAACATAACTGGTATTACGCATTTGTATGTGCATCTAGAGCATATGGGCAGTTGCTGGAGTTCCTTCCTCAACCTGTACAACCTTCCATACAGAGTGACAGGAGCCAAGAAAGAGGGCCTCTGGTAATACTGGTGTTATTGTTACCTTGTGCTCTACTGGTCAGTTTGTTCCCAAAAACTAGTAGGAGCTCAGAAATCTGTGATTCAAGTAGATTTTATAAAACTAAATCTGATTTTGCAGTTTTTCATCAGTTTTGTTTTTTGCTATGAGCTCTGGGTAAGGTGATAGAAATAGATGGACTGAACCTCAAAAGAGGGATTACTCAGTTATGGGGACAGAGGGAGAAGGTTTGAAAGTAGAGCTGTTGAACAAGGAGAAGGTTGATGCTTCCTCTAAGCCTGTTGTGTTAGGGTACATGAAAGATGGAGCCAGCCCATACTAGAGAGGTTGGCTAAAGGATTACACACACACACACAGACACACACACACACACACGTACATATATGTGTATATATACACCTACACGTGTATATGTACACCTATACATATACACATATATGCACACATGTATATTTGTGTGTGTGTATATATAATATACATACATACCTATATATATACATACACACACACACACACACACACACACACACACACACACATACATACATACACATCTGTGAAAACTGTAAGTTGGGAAGAGACTTAGGATAAAGAAAAGATTGTTAATAATAGAGCAGGAATTGAGATATGATGTGTGGAGGGCTAGACCTGTGATGAATTGGAATCTCTGTGCCTCTGTGTCTAATCCTAATTCCATTTCTGTTTTTAACTCTAATTTTATTTCTAATCAGTAGCCGTAAAATCTGTGCCATGAGAGGTGGGAGTTTTCCACCCATGTGAAAGGTTAATGGGGGGCCCAGCTCTCCAGGATTTTATTTGATGACTTAACATGGTATTCCTCTGGGAATCTGTGAATTAGTCTCTTTGGCTTGTCACTCAAACTTTGGGGTTCTGGGGATGGGTTAGTGGCATGTGGAGGTAGCACAGTTCTGATCAGGTGTATGGAACAGTAAACACCTGATGAGTGAGAAACACTGAACTCAGGCTTGACATCTGTGAAGTAAAGTCATTCCAAAATGCTGGGGAATGAAGCAATTCTAAAAGATCAGTGGAGCATTTGCCCATATGCTCTAGATCAGGGCTTCTTAAACTATTTCCACTCATGACCCCTTTTCTCCTTAGTTGGTGTTGCATGGCCTGAGGGCATGTGCAGTGCAAAGTGTTCAGAACCAAGGCTGCAGTGAAGTTGCAAGTTGCAGCATGGGCAAGCACTACCAGTAACACCTTGGTTTCATAGCACGTTTGATTTTTAATTAATTTTTCCTTGTTGAACTTTCAGAAACCTTTTACTGTTGCCAAAATTTTCATGACCTGATAGGGTCACGACCCACAGTTTAAGAAGCACTGCTTTAGATCACAAATGAGTCTCTTTATTCTAATGTAGGTCAGTCCCCTCTAGTGAAGACCCTTTACTGTCACTTCTTGAAGTTCAAGATCTCTGCTGGATATCTTTTTATCACTTTTTGTGTGCAATATTATCTCTGATTCCTTTCCCCCCATTGTTTTAATATGTTTCTCTTCCTGAGCTATCTTGTAAAGTAAGATTGTGTTACCTTCATCGTGGCTTTCTTTGGTATGTGCTTGGTTTGGTCCAGCTTTTCTTCTTGACTTCATATTTTGTTTTTTGCAGCTTTATCATTCTCAAAACCCTGTGTTTACATTTTATTTTTTCTATCCTGCCATATCTAGAATCCCTCATCTATCCAGAAAGAGTTAAGGGTTGGAGTGTTACTGCTAGAAATTTTTTTGTATTTTGTAGAAAATCTAATATCACTCCCATATTCTCAAAAATATATTGGCATTTATCTTTTGTTTCCAGGAAATTATGAATATCCATGATCATTACCAAGAAATGAAGCAGATAATTTCAGCTGATAAATCTCAGCCTGACAAAGCTCTCACCTTGATAAAAGATGAATTTTTAGTTAACATTAAGAACCTGGTTTTAGAACATAAACAGTGGCATGAAGACAAAAAGGTATGTGGATGCCTCTTTAATAGCTCAACTAAAAATATGAAGGAAAGTAGTAACCAAAGTGAGTCTTAATTTTTCATAAATATTAGTTACCAGTGGTATATAATATCATATTCTTTCATTACTGTGTCCAAATATGTAGTACTTATAGCTTCTACAGTATGAAGTTAGCAACATTTTTATGTTTGTGAAATAAGACTTTTTGAAGCTGTATTTAAATTCACCTTAGTTATTAACACAACTTCTCATATTAAGTCATCTTCCCCTTTCCTTAACTCTCTTTCTCCCTTCTAATCAGGTCTGAGGCCTATTGATTCTTCCTTTGTAACATCTCTGAAATATCCTTCTCTGGAACCCTGCTTTCTGGCTTACATCACTCCTGTCCTACACTACTATAATATCCTTGTAATTAATCTCTATGCATCTAGACTCTCTGCTCTTCATTCCATTCTCTGCACAGTGCTGAAATAGTAATACTCCTAGGTCATGGGATCATCCCCCTCTCCCCCACCAGAAACACACTTTTAATTGTTAGTTGTTACCCATTTTCTTTAAGATGAGATACAAAAACTCCTTAGTCTGGCCTCACATCTACCCTTCCAGTCCTATTCTATACTGTACTAGTATTCTTAATGTACTCTTTTTTTCCAAACAAATTGCATTATTTATTTTTCTATGGATTTGACACTCTTATCTCCTGCCCCTCTACATTCTTACTGCTCTCTGTGCCTAGAATATAAAGACTACATATCTACCTTAGAAAGTCCTTGTCTCTCCTTAAAGACATAGTTCAGGTGTTCCCTCCTCCATTTCTGTGAAGTCTTTTCTGAATATACATGTGCCCCCAGCACCTAGTAAAATGCATTGCAAAAGCAGGTGCTTAATGAATGTTGTTGAGTTGAACCCCATTATTATAAATTATATTTTCTAGGAGTAAATTACTTGCCAAGGTTTTACCCTAAAAGTTGCATTGATTGGCGTGATGCCATTCCTAAATTTCTAGAAATCGTATTTTTGACCGCCTTAGTACACATTTTCTACTGGCTGTTCAGCTTAATGCAAGAATTACTGAAGGTGAAGTATTGAATTATTGAAGCACTTACATCCAGTGTCAGCTACAAATTCTTCATATTTTGAGAAATAACTTTAGGCGTTGTTTCTTCTCTGGTAATGCTGGTTTTGAAAGTGGAATTTTCTAAAAAATTAAAAATCAAGTTTAATTTTATATGCAGTATGTATTTTGAGTACCGGATATTAAACATTGGGCGTTTATGTTGAAAAGGAAATGGCTTTTCTTTGTTTAGGCGGTCTCCCATTTTCACTTAGCCCAGTTCTCCTTTCTGACCTCGATGGAGAATATCAGGTTTTGGGATTAAGTCAAAGAGGCTCCCTGCTGGCTGGTTTCATCTTGCTTTATCTGAAATGCTGCCATATTTTTAATGTGTTAGTCTTTCTAAGACATTGTAGTTTGGGGTTCAGGGTATAGACTGGTAGCTAATTAGAGATGGTGAGCAAGGCTAATTAGTGGCCACCCAGGATCATAGGATTTAGAGCTAGAAGTGGATCCTGGAGACCATCTAACACCAAATCCATGTTTTACAGCTGAGAGAGGGGGCCCAGAGGACGACTTGCCCCGGATCATGTAGGTCAGGAGCATCGGAGTCAGATTGGAGCTCAGGAGCTTACTCTAGAGCAGTGCTCTTTTCACTCTAAATTGCGGGCTGAGGTGACTTGTAATAGTCAAACTAAGAACTTTGCCTCATGCCCTTAATTTCTCCAAAATCCTAGATAACAGTGATTTAAAAATGTTTTGTTTTTAATACTATTCTGCCAAATCAGATTAGTTGATCAGTCAGGCATATAGTTAGTATTCATCTGTATACGAACAAGGTATTTTTACTGAAAGTTATAAAAAATGAACAAATGTTCTGGCACTTGAGGAAACATGAAGGAAAAAAATGTGTTACCTGATTTATAGGATCAAGTTGTAGTTGCTTTCAAATGACACTTCATGTAAGTTAGAAATCATTCGATGTGATAGCTGAGTGAAGCTTAACAGTGAATTAATTTCAGGTTGTGGAGGATCCTAGAAAAATGTGGTAACTTTTAAAAATATTTTTAATCATTAGAAATAACTGTTCCTCATCCTAAAGTTAATTGCCTTTGTTCTGAGTTACTTTGAGTTATGAAATGTTATTCTTTGTTGTAACAGAAGGTATTTGTAAAAGTTAAAAATGAAGATGACCAAAGAGAAAAGGAAGGAAGTTCACAAGAATTGGAGGTAAGGAAAATATTCTTTAAAATTTCTTATATGGAGCAAAGAGATTAACTTTCAAGTCCTTGTAAAGAAAGTGATCTTTAGTCAGTTTTGAAATAATTACCTCAGAAATCCTAATTTAAAGTTCCCAGCTGTTTTATGATGAGGCATCTGGCTTCTTTGCTCTTTTCCTGATGTCTTGTAAGATAGTTCGTTGGAGTGGGGAAGGGAGAGGGATGATAGGGTAGCACTTGTGTATGCCCCTTTTACTCCTCTTCCCACCGCTTTTTTTTTTTTAATCTGGGAGATGGGAAGCATTCAAATCATGGGGCTTGGTATTGGAGTCAACAATTGCTACAAAGCTATTATTAAGGATTTCTTATGTACCAGACTCAGAGTACTAAGGTACAAAAGCAGTCCCTATCCTCAAGGAACTCAGCATTAACTCTGTTTACATAAGATAAACAAAGTAGATAGATAGTAAGGGAGGAGGAAGCACTGACAGTTGGGCAGACTGGGAGAGACCTCCTGCAGAAAGTGGGATTTGAACTGAGTCTTGAAAGAATCCATGGAAACTAAGCAGCAGAGGGGAGGAGAGCTGGAATTCCATATATAGGGGACAGCCAGTGCAGAAGCACAGATAGGAGCTGGAGTGTCATGCTTGAGAAACTGCAAATAAGCTAGTACAGCTTGGTCATAGAGTGCACAGAGCAGAATAAAGTGTAAGAAGATTAGAAAAGTAGGGTGGAACCAGGTTATGAAGACTTTTAATCCCAGAAGACTTTAAATTTTATCCTGGAAAATAATAGGGAACCACTGGAGTTTGAGTAGAAGGCTGACATGGTCAGACCTACACTTGAGAAAGATCACCTTGGAAACTGAGTAGAGGGTGGAGTGGAGTTGGGAGAAAATTAAGACGGGGAGATCAGTTAGAAAGGTGATTAGGGTCTACACTAGGATGATGGTTGTGTTAGTAGTGTAGAGGAGACACAGTCAAGAAATATTAAGATAGAAAAGATAGAAATGCCAGAGTTTGGCTGTGGAGGATGTGTAAGAATGAGGAATGGGGGGATAACACCTAGTTGATGAGCCTGGATGACTGAGAGGATAGTGGTGTTTTGATTATTACTGTAGGGAAGATGGGAGGACCAGAGGGTTTGTGGGAAAAGATACTGATTTCAGTTTTGGACATGCTGAGTTTCAGTTGCCTATGAGACATCTGTTTTGAGATCACCAAAAGTTGGTGATCCAGAGCTGTAGTGTGGGCTAGATATAGAGATTTGAGAATCATGTGCATAGTGATGATAAATGAAGTTTTGGGAGCTGATGGTGTCACTTAGTAAGATAGTATAGAGGGAGAAGAGAAGAGGGTCGGAGACAGACCGTTGGGGAACTCCCAGTGTAGTAATGATCATGACACGGATGAAGCAAAGGAGACTGAGAGGTCAGACAGTGAGAGGAGAACAGGGAGAGAAGCAGTGTCATGAAAGAGATGATCCAGGAGGATGAAGTATTGAATGCTGCAGAGATGTTGAGAAGAACAAGGATTGAGAAAAGGCCATTAGATTTGACAATTAAAATATTATTAATGACTTTGGATAGATGAGGTCAGAAACCAGACTGCAGAGGGTTTAGAAGAGAGTGAGAAGAAAGAAAGTGGAGGCACCAACTGTAGACAGCTTTCTTAAGGACAGTAGCCTTTAGAAGGGGAGGAAAGTTAGCAGGAAAATAGCTAATTGGGGATGCTTGGATCAAGTGAGAATTTTTTTTTTTGTGAGGCAATTGGGGTATAAGTGACTTGCCCAGAGTCACCAGGCTAGGGAGTATTATGTGTCTGAGGCCGGATTTGAACTCAGGTCCTCCTGAATCCAGGGTCGGTGCTCTATCCACTGTGCCACCTAGCTGCCCCCTCAAGTGAGAATTTTTAAGGATGGAGGAGACACAGGCATGTTTGTTGGCAACAGGAAAGGAACCAATGGGTGTGGAGAGATTGAAAAATAAGAGTGAGTGGGAATGATGGTGGGGACGATCTGCTTGACTTTATGAAAAGCTATGGATTAAGGGTGCATGTAAAGGGCTGGCCTTGGTAAAGAGGAGGGCCATCTCTTCATCTGACAGAAGTGAAAGAGGATATGGTAGAGGAAGATGTCTGAATGATGTGAGATGTGGAAGAATGGAGAAGGGGGGAGCTCATGGTGAATGGCTTCAGTTTTTTTGGCAGAAGTATGAGGCAAGGTCATCAGCTGAGGGGAAGGTCATGCCGGGGGAAGTTTAAAGAACATAAGAGAAGGTTTGAAACAACTGATTTAGAGAATGTGATGGTGAATTGATTAGGAAGAATGATTGCCTTGCTGCTGTGAGGGCCCATTTAAGATCAGATAACATAAATTTGTTGTGGACCCAAGTGCCAAGATTTCCTTATTTCCTTTTGATTCATTCACCAGCACTTGAATAGGAGCTAAGGAGGCAGATGGTGGAAGTAATCCATGTTTAGGATTACTCAAGGCTCAGTCAGTCAGTGATAGGGTAATGGGATATGTAATAGGATAAGGGATTCGGGAGTGGATTTTATAGAGTAGAATTGAGATCACCAAAGTGTAAAGGCAAGAAAGGGAACAGAGTGCAGTCAGAGCAGGGGGAGTAGCCTTGCAAAAAACTGAAGAGTAGAAGGGATGAAGGTCATGGAGGATTGAGCAGGTCATGGGAAATGATCAAGTTGAGAAACTGGGAAGTTTAGATGTTTGAGGGTATATCACTCTGTAAGTTGAAGTCCCCTAGCATTAGAGTAGGAATAGGAGAGGAGAGAAAGACTGTAAGCCAGGTACTGAAGTCATTGAGGAAAGAAAGGGAATGTTCTGGAGGCCTATAGAAAACAGCTACCAGAATTTTGACCAAGTTGTAGATATGGATTAATGAACCTTAAAGGAATAGAGGTTACTGAGCAATGATAGAAGGAGAGCTTGCACATGACAGTAGGGAGCAAGAAGTGTTCTGATTCCCACACAGCCCAACCAGGATTGGAAAAGATGTCGAGGGGAAGCTATGTCATCAGGAGGGAGCTCAGTCTCAGTGAATTAAGTCAAATCAACAAGTATTTATTAAGTATTCACAGGTACTGTGCTAAGCCCTGGAAATACAAATACAAGTAGAAGAGAAGACAGGGTGTGTTCTCAAGGAACTTATGTTCTAAGGGGAAAGACAATACATAAAGGGAAATATGGAGCAGGGAGCTCACAGGAGCCTTGGTATGGAGAAGTGACATGGAGGCCTCCTTCCAGGCAGGATAAAGTAAAGGCTCACCTGTCAAAGCCCATCAAAACCTAAGGGCAGAGTCCAGGGTTGTAGTGGAACATGGATGAGGTGGATGGATGGAGTGTATCCTGCTGGCCTTCTGTCCTGCCTGGAAATGCTGGTGAGCTTCAGTGAGATGAGGGTGGTTTCTGTTACCTGCTTGTGGTAGTGAGAAAAGAAGTGGTATGAGTGATTTATATATGCACTCTATTTCAGTATAATCTGTAAGTATTTTTATGTTTTTAAGACAACTTTTGAAGTAGAAGTCACTTGTGAAGGATGATAGTAATTTGTACAAATTAAGGATATTGGTCTTAAAAGTCTTGGTGGAATTTAACAACTTCATTAGTTGATCTTACCTAACTGCCATTTCTGATACTAGTTGCATATAGTAATAATTTCTTCTGGTGGGGTTAACGGTTTATTTTTAATTTCTGTCCAATTCTTGATTTGTTTGTTTGCAGGGTTCTGAAAGAGCAGGAGCATTAGCTAAAATAAAATCCAAGGCCTATTCAGTTGTCACTCAGGTAAATTAGTTTTTTTTTAACAAGATAACAAACATTTTTATGAGTATTTTGGTTATATTTTTGTCTTTTGTTAAGAGATTTTAAGCATTTTAGCTATAAGTTTGAGTACTGTGTTTTGATTTTTTTTGGATTTGATTGAATAAGGGGTACATTGCTAGAATTTTGAGTCATTTTATTTATTTAATAATCTTTGCAATCTAGGTTTTTTAAAAACTCTAATTGCAATTACTGTATGCAGTAGATGGATATATCCATATGATGAGAAATTTATGTATGTAGACCATATAAATGTAGTTATACGATTTCTCACATTCAACTTCAAAACACTTACTAGTTGATCTAAGTTTGATAGCATAACAGTCCATGATAGTCAGTTATATGGTAGTAGTGGCAGTTAGGTGGTCAGGCCCCCTAGTAGTCTGCTTTTTTATATGTGCTAATATAATATCTCTTTAGGTAAAATTTTTTTTCCTCAGGTTGGTCCACAGGCTGAATGTTGGCTTCCTGGCTAGTAGATCATTTAAAATCCTATAAATGCACAATTATAAACTGTCTTAAAGTCCTCTGTGGGTCATATGCAGTTGTTGCAAGTACCACAGAAGTAAACTTTCTTTGACCAAGATTTTACACCTTTAGCTGATGTTCTTATTCTTTGATCATATTAACATTTTTAACATTAACATTGCTTGACCCGATTTTTAGAGTTTCATGGAATCCGCTGTAATGGAATTTGAACTTTAGAGCTTGAAAAGAGACCTATTTATTACTAATCAGTTATTTTTCATTTTCATAACACTGTGGCCAAAATCTCACCAATGTTGTCATTTTTATTATCATAGGATCATAGATTTACACCTAGACTGGGTCTTGGAGTCTTCTAGCCCAACTCTTTTACTTTAGTATGATGAAATTGAGACCCAGAGAGATTAAGGAATTTGCCTGAGATTTCAAAGGAGTAAATGGCAGCAGACCTGGAATTTGATTACAGGCCCTCTAATCTCACAGTAGTCTGTGAGAGGACCATGCTGTTTCCTAAGTACAAAAACTGGTTAATTTTTTTATGCTTCATTTAGTGTTTTATCTTTCCCTAGTTACAGGTAAAAATTTTTAACATGAGTTTTTAAAACTTAGAGTTCTAAATTCTCTCCCTTCCTCCCTCCCCCCTCACCAAGAAGGCAGGCAATTCGGTATAGGTTATACATGTGTGGTCGTGCAAAACATATCCATAATAGTTTGTTATAAAAGAAAACAGATAAAAAAAAACTTCAAGAAAAATAAATAAGAAGTATGCTTCAATCTGTATTCAGATACCATCAGTAAAACTGGTTAATTAAAAATTTATTAACCAGAACCACCCAGTAAATATGATCTCTTCTATTGTCTTGTGATAGTTATTATTCATTACATTGAGATAAAGTGCCTTGGAATCAAGGCACTTTAAAGTAATGAAATGTCTTCTGAATCATCAAAAAATGATTAAATTTTGTTTGGATATAGTTTTAGTATTGTATGTTTTATTGCATGATGATTTTTTAATGATTTGTGATCCATTAGAAGATAAGTGCTGTATTAATGTGCTGGAGGGGAAACAACTGAGTTGGAGGAGCTGGATTCAGATTCCGTTACTGCTGTTCACTACTTGTATGACTTAGGCACATTAATTATCCTTTGTGGTTCTGTTTCCTCATACACATGTTGGGTTGGGCTTGGACTAGATGATCTTCAAAGTTATCTCTAAATCTATGACATTACATTAACTGCCATGTTTTCTTAATTGCAACACTTCATTTTCTTTTTTTTTAATGTAATGTTATCTATGTTTTATTATATTTTTATTTATTTTGTTAACTGTTTCCCAATTACATTTTGTTTTTTTTTTTGATTGGGCAATTGGGGTTAAGTGACTTGCCCGGGGTCACACAGCTGGTGTCAAGTGTTTGGTCTGAGGCTGGATTTGAACTCAGGTCCTCCTGACTTCAGGCCGGTGCTCTATCTGCTGCGCCACCTAGGCAACACTTCCTTTTCTAACCAGTCCAGATAGAGTTTATTTAATATTTATGCTGCCAGTTAAGCATTGTTTGTGGGCATGAGCAACTAGAAAAAATTGTCTTTCTTAAGAAACTGTGGTTATAGTTATGTGTTCTGTTGGTTGCACATTTATGATATTATTGATGTCTGTCTGTCATGCTGCATGATTTAGTGCAAGCTTATAGTGCTTTAGGAATTCAGAGAAAGGAAAGATTTCTGTGGTTGGAGTAATCAGGGCAAGCTTTGTGGAGGAGTTGGGTAGGATTTGATATGGTGGAGGGGGAGGATAGTCTAAATGACAGTAATAGCATTAATAAAGGCATAAAGGCTGGAATGAGCATGTGGGAGAGAGTAGGGAATTAGCCTGACTAGAACAGAGGGTATGAGTGGGTTGGGTTGGGTTAAAAAAAGCCTATGTCTTTGAATAAGGATAATGTTACAGTGTGGTATGTGCTAGGTGTGTAGTGTACAGACAGAGGATGTGAGTTATAAAATACTGGAATTTTTAAAATACATTTTCCTGTAAAATGTTCCTGATAGAACGTCTTTCTGCTTTGATCATATTTTTTGACTGGCTCTTTGTATTAAATATGTTTCTATTCCGTATACCTGTTAAAACCAGGATCCCTTATAACTAAGTAACTTTAATTTTTCAGGCATCCAAGTCAAGGAGACATCGTCAGGTCAAACTCGAACCACTTGAGTCAGAATTTGTTAAAAAGCTAGTCAAGACACCTTCTGATAAAGGAAACAAAGGAAAACTGGAATCAGAAGAGGAAACATCACCTCAAATTAAAGGTAACTTAATAAGGTCTTTATAGAAATGAGAGACAGTGATTTATATCTTTGTTGTGGACCAGATTCTCTTTCACTGTGTTTAGGGAGCTTGTAATCTTTAATATCAGGAAATTCACTTTTAGAGTCAAAGAATTTTAGAGTTCAATGATACCTCGATGGTGACCTAGTCTATTTTACAAAGAAACGAGACAAAGCAAGTTAAGTTGGGGCAGCTAGATGGCGCAGTGGAGGCAACTCATTTAACCCCGATTGCCTCGGGAAAAAAAAAAAAGTTAAGTCCTTTGCTCACATCTACATAGTTATGACTGAGAGCTAGGGCAAGAACTGTATACTCAGAGTCAGTAATTTTAGCCTTTATGTCCCCATGGCTGCTGCCAGCAGGTACCAGAACAAAACTATGACAGACTCACTGTGTGAGCTAGAATTCTCCTTAGCTGCTTTTCTGTTCAGCATGAAGCTTTTACTACTTTGAGTGTTTGGCTCCTGAGGAAGGATTGTTTTAAACAGCTGAAGGAGTAGGCACAGCAAACCAAGTCACAGTATTAAAATCATATGTCCTGACTATACGCTTTGGGTTTCATTTGTTTTTGTATGGGTGATAAGCATACACACAAGTATAACAGTCATTGTTGTTCAGTTTTACTACACATAATACAGTGTTCTTCTGGAACCTGTTTGGGTATACTTGTGCTTATGTTAAATGGCCTTAGACTGCTATTCGTTTTGAGTTTGTGTCTGCTTTTTTCAGATTTCTTTGTCTTTTCCCAGTCACTCTTTATTTTATTATTATAATATTATTTCTGCCTTATTATAATATTAGTGTTTCTGCCTGTAGTGCCACTAAGATGGAAAGAAAGCTTGAAATCATGATGCCAGGCTCAGCTGAAGAGAAGACTTAGGATGTAACATAACAGCATCTTCTGATATTTGAAATATTTGAACAATTGTCAGGTGGAAGAGGGATGAATAAACTTGTTTTGCTTGACCTGAGAAATTAGAGCTAGGAGTAATTGTGGAAATTGCAGGGAGGCACATTGCTGGCTCAATATAAAAGAAAATCTTCCTTTAAAAATAGATAGAGATCTCCAAAAGTGGAATTCTCTGACTCATGAAGTAGTGAGTTTTCCTTTACTGATGGTCTTCAGGTGGAGGCTAAATGGTGATTTTGTATAGAGGAGTGGTATAGATGATTCTTCCTTAGGTATAGAGGAACTCTGAGGTAGTCCCTTCCTGTTCTCACATTCTGTGATTTCCCTTCCTTATTGCCAAGTGCTTTTAATATGTGATGACTCTGTAAACCAGATGATCAAGCCCATGAGAATTATGTGTAAGATATTCCCAGGATGAGCCTGAGTGGTTTTCCTGTCAGTAGAGAAAATTAGTTTTAGTGCCTGGATTTTGTGACCTCTATTTTGGCTTGTCAGAGGTCTTTCTGCTTACGTCCTAACACTTGGTTGTGTTTGGGTTAGCTAAAGTGTTAGTGTATTTCAGAGCCCCTTAAAATTTGTTTCTCTTTTTTCTTTTGAATTATTGCATTTAATGTTAACAATTTAGTAAAGTTAAATATAATTAGATAAAACTTTGTCTCCAAGATAGTTTTTAAATGCTTATTTCATAGTTGTAAAAAAAAAATAATGTTCTGAAATATCCACTTGCTAGCCAACATAATTTAACCTAAGTTTGTTAGAAATTGATCACCTGGGTTAGTAATCATGCTATGTAGAACATAAAATCAATTTTTTTTCCCTTCTGTTAACTTTTCCCTCTTCTTTCCTTCCTTCCTTCCTTCTTTTTTTCTTTTAACATTTTTCATTCAGCTGTATTACATGATGACAATTTAGTTCAGAATTTTGAATAATTATTCATCAGAACCATGCAAAAACTAGTATGCCTGCATTGTTTGGTATAACGTTTTGGTGGGAAATAACAGCATAGATATATGCTGTATAGCTTTGACAGTGATGATTAAGAAGGGTTTATGTGTTAAACATGTAAGAATATAAGGTCACCATGGTTTAAATATCTTTATATAATTAGGTCCTTTAATAGAATTTGAGAAACACTTAATTGTTGTTTCTTAATGGTTGTCAAGCTTTTTTTTTTTTCATATTTCATTAGTGGTATCTTCAGTCCAATTATCTTTATCAAAACAATTTTTTCCTTTGATGTAGGAATTTAAAAAAATAGATTGAATTGGGCCCAGAAGACTCCTGAAACATTGTGCAAAGCATTTACATACCATATATTACATGTATACTTGAAATATATTTGGTTCAGAGAAGTTACTGTCACTATAATTGTATTTTTATTCTAAACATTTAGCTTTGATATGTTGACATAGTGTGTTATATCACAGGATCTTAGAGCTAAAGCTGACAGAGCTCTTAGAGATCATTGAGCACAACTCCTTCATTTTATAGTTGAGTAAACTGAGACCCAGAGATGTGGAGTGACTTTCCCAGTGCTGCAGATAGACAGTAAGTATAAGAGCTAGGATGGGAGTTCAGGTTCCCGGATCTTGTATCCAGGACTCTTTCTATTATACATGTTGCTTTTGGAATGTTCCCCCTCACTGTCCCTCCCCCCACTCCCCCAACTAAAATATTCTTTCTCTAACATATATACTTGAGATTTAGTAGAATGGAATCTGTGATTGGTCTATGACTCTAGAAGGGTACCTTATTATTTTTTTTTAATTTGTTTTGATTTATCAACAATCACTTCCATATGCTTTTGAGTTTAAAACTTTTCTCCCTTTCCTCCCCACCACCCTCCCCAAGATGGTGCACAATCTGATGTGGACTATACGTATACATTCCCATTAAACATATTTTCACATTAGTGATGTTGTAAGTAAGAATTAGAACCAATAGGAGGAACCACCAGAAAGAGGAAATGAAACTCACCAGAAGAAAAAAAAATAGCAAATAGTATGATTTAATTTGCATTCATACTCCATAGTTCTTTCTTTGGATGTGGATAGCATTTTCCATCCCAAGGCCTTTGGAGATTTCTTAGATCCTTGAATTGTGGGAAAGGGTTAAGTTTATCAAATTAGTCATCTCATAATGTGGCTGTTATTGTGTACAACATTCTTTTGGTTCTGCTCACTTCACTCAGCATCAGACCATACAAGTCTTTCTAGGTTTTTCTGAAGTCAGCCTGTTCATCATTTCTAATAGTACAGTAGTATTCCATTACATTCCTATACCATGACTTGCTCAGCCATTCCCCAGTTGATGGGCATCTTCTCAATTTCCAATTCTTTTGCCAAGGGGTACCTTATTTTAAAAGGAAAAGGATAGTTGAATGGGAGCTGGGGAAGGCAGGAGGAATAGAGTAACACTTAGGTTAAGAAGGTGTATGGGGGAAATCTAGAAATCAGAGGAAGTTGTAAAGAACATTTGGGTCAAGATCATTGGAGACAGAAAAAATATTGGTATCGGAGTATACTACAAACTGTCTCAGTAAAGAGCTCACTTCAAGGACATGGATTGCAACCTAGCATAGAGATATGATGTAGTATTGATGGGAAACTTTGTGTATTTGGACTGAATTCAGCTGAGTTCAGCTCACTCTGACAAAAACAGATGTTAATATTTTCTTGAAAAGGACCAGTTACTTGCTGTGGCCAAAGTGATGGGGAACCATCTTGTGTGATCCATCTTAGCATTTTTGACAGTGAAGGAAAGGAAACATGGTTACAGTATTAAATTTGGAGAGAGTATATTTTAGAATGTTCAGGGAAAACATAAATAAGAGCCCATGGTCTAAGATTCTGTAGGGAAGGTTAGTCCCAGAGGGAAGGTACACTCTTAATGAAATTCTGAAGACACAAATAAATAATTCCATTGAAAAGTCAAAGGAGGAATTGTCTAAAAAGATTATTTGAAAGAGAGGAAGGGGGAGAAAATTTGGAACTCAACATCTTATGGAAGTGAATGTTGAAAACTAAAAATAAATTAATATTTTAAAAAAAGGTTATTTGAATTCATAGGGAATGTATAGACCAACAAAAAGAGGTAGGAGTATTTCTCAAGGAAATTGAATTTCTTTCTTAAATGCTTTCAAGTGTTTATTGCCTCTAGATTATAAACTCAGGTATTGCCATTCACCATTAAAACTTATTTTACATTATTTCCTTTCACACATCACAGTTAAACTGGCATGTGGCTGCTCTCCATACTTTGCCTTCCATTTTCCATCTTGGTATGTTTGTAAGAGCTATCCCTGTACTGGGAATGTGTTTCTTCCTTGTGACTGCCTTTTCCAAAAAAATCTGTAGTTTTCTTCAGGGCTTGGTTCAAGTTCCACTCGTTTGATTTCCTACTTGTTTGGATTCTCAGCTACCTCAAATTATCTTGTAATTGCCCATTGTTTACATATTGCATACATTGCCTCCTTGAGGACAGAGACTTTTCCATATTTTTTTTGTGTCCTTAGCATCTAGCATAGTACCTAGTACAGAGTATAGATGCTTTATAAATGTTGATTTGAATGAGTAAATGCAGAACTCATTTTTATTTCGCTTTTGATTTTCTACAAAGAATGACGTTTGGGCTGGAAATTACAGAAAAGCCCAGTTAGTGAACAAATGTGTAAGCACCTACTTTGTTCCACGCACTGAGTCAGATGTTACGGATAAAATATGATGAAACAATTCATACTTGGAAGGAGCTTATGTTCTAATAGGAAAGACACTAAAATTATATATAGAATAAATATGAGGAAAATAGGTACAAAATACTTAAGTACAGTGTAAATTGGGTGGGAAGGAGCTAACGTTTAGGAAGAACACGAAAGATTTCATGTAGAAAGTGGTGCTTGAGCTGTGTCTTGAAGTAAAAGAGGGATTGGATTCTATGAGGGAGATTAGGAAGGGAGTACATGGAGATGGGGGGAGTACAGAAAGAGAGAGAGATAGTGAGTGTGTGTGTGTGTGTGTGTGTGTGTGTGGTGTGTGTGTAGGAGAGAGGGAACTGTGAAGCTGGAAAGATGGG